GAACAAGAGGGGAGCTACAGTGAAGCACGTCTCTTCATCATGAAAGTCTTGCCCCACTCCCCCAGCTTTCTAAAGATATTATTTTTGGATACACTTTATAAATTACTTTTTAGACATAGTAAAACGTACATACATTATAAAAAAAAAATATATCAATATATCAAAAATAGCTATTTTTAAAAAACAAATTACATTTTTAAAAAAATAAAATTAAATCATTTTTGTAAAATGTATCCAACATTATTAAATGGCTTGGAAATCTTATCGAACAATATTAAATAAACGTCTAAATTAAACAAGGGGTTCTAAAAATTCTCCTATCCATACATCTACTCCTTTGATACTTATGATGATGGTCAGAATCACAGAGCTTGTGATAGTCTAGCAGTAGAGCACCTGGAGTAATCTTTGTGCCAAGATAGCACAAGGAAGGTGGAAAATATGAGAAATAGACAGGCAGGTTAATGTTTAATCCAGGCTCCTCATTGGCTAGATTAATTGGAAAGGCTTTAGTATCCATTATAATATACAAGTGTTCCTGTTTCAAGGACATGCAAACCTAGTTTGAGCCAAGATGGTAAATTGACAATATTTAATCTGTTGTCCATGGAATATATTTTTGCTGCTCAAATTTACACAGCTGCCTCCATGCAAAATAGTAATTTAGCAAAAAAAAAAAAAAACATAAAACTAAACAGCATACTGAAAATGTTATTCGTTTCATCCCCCTTATAAAAATACTAAAATAAAATATATAAAATACAAAAAAAATAAATCAAATATCAAAGACTAAAATATAGAACAATTCGATGAGGGTTTCATAAATTTAAACCATGATAGCACCTTTATGCATTTTTTTGTAGAATTGCAAATGATGCTTTTTAAACCATGGCTTCACTTATCATTCATCATCAACTGTGACCTCCTCAAAGTAACAAAGAAAACCATGGCAGATATACCACTTCAATATTGCACTACGAATAAGCGATACATCTCATGTACATGGCTCTTCATGCTTTGTTTATTTCCCTCTTTTTTTTGTGAATTACCCAAATCAACAAAATCTGTATGTTAACTAAAACTGGATACCAATGTGACTTGTTTACTCCAAGTTTTTAAAAGTTAGATGGAGAAACATAGGAAATTAACTTGTGTTAGAGTTTATAGATTTCATATACAGTTGCAAGAAAAAATATGAACCCTTCTCCTCCTTCTTCTGATGTCATCTGATGTCTTTCTTATGGACACTGGCGTCTTCTCACTGTGAAAATCACAGTGAGAAGCGCCTCTAGCAGCTGTCATTGAGACAGCCACAAGAGGCTGGATTAACCCTAAAGTAAACATAGCAGTTTCTCGGAAACGGCTAGGTTTACAGCAGGCAGGGTTTATCCTAGATCTACCTGGCACCCAGACCACTTAATTGAGCTGTCCTGTAAACAAATCCGATCCATGGAGACTTCACCTCACAACTTACAGGACTTAAAGAATCTGCAGCTAATGTACTGGTGCCAGATACCACAGGACACGTTCAGAGGTCTTGTGGAGTTCATGTCTTGACACATCAAAGCCGTTTTGGCAGCACAAGAGTGCCCTACACAATATTAGACAGATGGTTTTAATGTTGTGGCAGATCAGCAAAGGTGGAGGACAGGAGGCAACCAGATAAAGTGATCTTTCTAAGCCTTCAGAGCCTGCTATAAATGGCTCCGCATACTGTGAGTTGGCAATTGTCAACTATATTTCCATAAACATTTGCATGTCAAGTATTATGCTATGGACTGTCTTATATTTGTAGGTTGACTTACACTCACAAATGATCAATAGTGAATAAGTATTACTGATTTAATACCGATTTTAGATCAATATTAGATTAGTTACAATGATGCAAATGGACCAAATGGGGGAAAAGAGGGAATCATGGGACTATTAACTTTATTTGCATTCAAGGTGATGTCTTTTCAAGATTGGGATAGAACATGGGGCATAAAGACTTTTTTCTGACAACATACTGCAGTAACCCTTCTTCATACAGAGAACGGTTGCATTGCCTTAAAAGGGATACGCCGTACCCCTAAAGCACTTTAGATTGCTGAAAAGCGTGTTTTTTTTTTATTGCAAAAAAGTGCAGATTTCAATACAAAATAACCTGGTTATTTATATCCCCTTGGCTTTCATGCAGACTACGGGTCCTGTTACTTCCTGGTTTCGTTAGCTCAGTGAAGTTAAACTCAATAGGCAACAATTACCCAGAGCACCTACTTTGCAAAAAATTCTCATTGAGATGAATTGGGAAGTCTGCTTGAATAGCCATAAAAAGTCTGGGCAGGGCTAGTAGGGGAGGATTTGCAAAAGCTGCTAACATCAGAAATACATGTTTTGAGATACAACCTCAATGGAAAAATGCATAATTAAAAGCGTTCATGTTGTCATTTGGGGTATGTCTAAACTGTTTTTTAAAAATGTATTTTGTATTAGGGCAGTGGAGTGTCCCTTTAATGTTACACAAACTTTGACCAGTTACACTGAAGTACACTATTTGTGCTGCATGAACAGTTTCAAAATTGAAGGCACATGGCAAAAATCTACACTTACCTAGATGGATCACACTATTCATTCGGCTTATGTATCTTCAGGAAAATTTCCTCCAGTGCCCATTCCAAAAGGGCAAAGGGAACTTGATTTTGTAATTTCCCATGGGAACAGGGCCCTTAACCCTGTAACCCTATATTTGCTAAAGTTTGTAATGTCCCTTTTGTCTTTTTGCTAATAAAAATTATACCCATGTCCATTGCTGCATGATACACTGAAGTTGTAAGTTTTCAATTAAAGGGACACTATAGTCACCAGAACTTCAGCTTATTGAATTTGTTCTGGTGAGTAGAATCATTACCTTCAAGCTTTTTGCTGTAAACATTGTTTTTTCAGAGACAATGCAGTGTTTACATTACAGCCTAGTGATAACTTAACTGGTCATTCCTTAGATGGCTGTTAGAGATCCTTCCTGGGTCGTGGCTGCCTAAAATGCATCCAAACATTCAGTGTCTCCTCCCTCTGCATGCAGACACTGAACTTTCCTCATAGATATTCATTGATCCAATTCATCTCTATGAAGAGATGCTGATTGCCCAGGGCTGTGTTTGAATTGTGCTGGCTCTGCCCCTGATCTGCCTCTTTGTGAGTCTCAGCCAATCCTATGAGGAAGTATTGTGATTGGATCAGGCCACCACTTCTGATGTCAGCAGATAGGTCAAAGGAAACCGTGACAAAGCAAGCAGCTCCAGGCTTGAATACTTTATTTAGGAGGACAGGGGAGCTAGAGGGTAGTTTTAACCCTATAGGGTCAGGAATACACATTTGTGTTCCTGACCCTATAGTGCTCCTTTAAAGGGAAACTCCAGTGCCAGGAAAACAAATCTGTTTTCCTGGCACTGCAGGTACCCTCTCCCTCCCACCCCAGGTAGCTGAAGGGGTGAAAACCCCTTCAGGTCACTTACCTGAGACCCCGCCGATGACCCTTGGCGGTGGTTTCGAGTCAGCGTCGCTCCTCCCAGTAATCGCGTCAGCCGGTGGGCGAGACTAATCCCGCCTGCCAGCTGAGGAAACCTAACGTGCATTAGGTCTCCCCATAGGAAAGCATTGAAAAAGATTTTCAATGCTTTCCTATGGGGAATTGAGCGACGCTGGAGGTCCTCACACAGTGTGAGGACGTCCAGCAACGCTCTAGCAAAGAAAATCTTTGCTATCAACGCGGAAGTGCCCTCTAGTGGCTGTCTAGTAGTAGTCTAGTCCTGTAAGTTGTGAGGTGAAGTCTCCATGGATCGGATTTGTTTAAAGGACCACTATAGGCACCCAGACCACTTCTAGTAGACAGCCACTAGAGGTGGGGTTAACCCTGTAATGTAATTATTGCAGTTTCTAAAAAACTGCAATAATTACAGTTGCAGGGTTAAGAGTAGAGGGAGTTGGCACCCAGACCACTCCAATGAGGAGAAGTGGTCTGGGTGCCTGGAGTGTCCCTTTAAGTAATATTTCCCTCTCTTTATGTACTACAATTTAATTTATAATTTTTTTATGTGCATTTTGGCATAGTTTGGATTCTTTTCACTGGGGTGATTCTGTTGATTTGGTGTGCTCTATTGTTAAGGGTGTGTATTTATTATTATTAGTAGTAGTAGTTTTATTTAATTAGAGAACTTATTCTGCAATGCTTTACAATATATTGACACTTAACAATAAATTATACAATTACAAAATGTTACAGGAACAATAGGTAGATGAGGATCCTGCTCAGACGAACTTACAGTCTAGAGGAGTGGAGTATAAAGACAATAATAAAGGCATTAAAGAGGACAACCAACAAGGTGGAAAAGTAACCTTTAACCCCTTAAGGACACGACATGTGTGACATGTCATGATTCCCTTTTATTCCAGAAGTTTGGTCCTTAAGGGTTTAATATCACTGATATTTTTGGATTAAAACAAAAAATACTTTTTCATAATACCAAAAAAGGTCTTGTATGAAAAATATTAAACTAAAAGACCAAAATTGCTGTTTTTGGAGTTTGTGTGTGTCGGATGGAGTTTGCTTTATCTACATCTTGTTGGGACTGCAGTCCTGATCCTTGTTTGTTCAATTGTTTGGTAAGTGCAGTCTGTATTTTTTTTTTTTACTATGTTTGTTAAAAGCCTGATCACACCTTTCCTTGCCCAGGCACCGTTATTAACACCCTCATCCCGCTCTTTCCTTTGCAGCTACCACTCTCCACATCAAAACCTTTCTATCATTATATACATCTCTATGTGGACCCATCATATCCTGCATAGAATAAAAATGGAGTGCTCAGATGGCATGTGAACTTTGGAATTAACTTTTTTGCTATATAAACGATTGGCGGGATAAAACCCATTCGTCCACTTTTGTTTATTTTCTGGGAACACTATCCCTTGCAAAGTAGATTCTTGGTCATCATAGAAACAAAAAAAGATGAGTCAAACACGAATCTGGTTTTCCATGCAGTCCACCTTTATTATATCTGTGTTCCCATATTCACATTAGGTTCACATACCCTTTTTGCTGTTTCATATAATACAATTTTTTTTAAATAACTTTACACAGAAATATTCACTTTAAATTTTATCTATGAAATTTTTTTTTTTTTCTTTGCCTCAAGTTTCCATGCTCTCTAACCAAAATGAATATTTCCCATTGTACAAATTTACATGAGAAAATAAAAATTAAAAAGGAGGTGGAAAGACCTGAGTAAGGCCAGAGCATGAGGATACAAAAAAGTAAAAATTAAAGGTGAGAAAAGAAAGGATAAAATAAATAACATTTCATCAGTAAGAAGGTTGCAGCAAAAAAAACAAAGAAACAAACAAAAACCATTTATACAGTTTCTCTTCATCACACAAGTCATGTAACAGAAAATAAAAATCTGCTTTATAAAATAAATATGTTTCAAAACAGAAGTGTACTTCATTAATTATTTCTCACAAGCAGCTTTAAATCTTTAGGGACACAAGATTTTTCCAGATACCTGTTGTGCAGCTCAGCAGGACAAGTTGGAAATGTGGAAACATCAATAAGCAACCTGTACACAATGCACGTGATTTGCCTGGCAAGGCACCAGTAGCAGCTGTGGATTTAGAATAAATGTACAAACTCATACACTTAAGAAGCATTACATAAGAAAACATTTATGCTGCAAGTGTTGAGAAAAAAAAAAAGTGCTGAAGGTCAAACAGTAGTCAAAAACATCAGATATTCTTATGATATGTATGCAATCAAATGTTTTAGAAATCTTAATGGAAAAAAATAGATATTCGTCCATAAATATATGGAATAGATGTGATCCACATTATTAAAAAACGTTTTACACGTAAAGATTACAAGTTTTTTACCCTTACCTGACTGCAATCCCTAGTAACTAAACTTTAGGTATCTTTTCTTAATAATAGAACAATATATTAGATTAGATTTATTGGAATGGATACAACAGAAAACCTGCTTGTGTGGGCTCAAGTACAAGTATTAATGGAGAATAAAACAAATTAAAACCGTTCAAACTAAGAAAACACAGCTCTCCAAGCAAACGTGATGGGTGTCTTGTCTCATTTTACCTTTATCAGTACAAAAAAAAAGAGGGATGTCGGGTCAGGCAACAAAAACTGACCAGCCTAATTACAATATCGAAAAGCACATCTAAAAGGTAAGAAGGTAGTCTATAATGGGGAAACAAATATACAGATTATTTGGGATAAATGAGAAGGTACAACAAAAGCCTGTCCCATGTGACTACTAGGCACCAGCATTAATATGACACCTGGAAAACACATTTGAGTTAGTCAGGTAAGCCACTAAAAACAAACAAAAATCACTGGTTGATTAATGTTGAAAACTACTCATAAAAACAAAATAGTTTCAAGTATTTAAACAATTTTAAAGACAAAGCTACATTAAAAAAGCACGGCTTCTGAAACCTCACATTGCTGGTTAGGACATATGGGATGTTATGATAAGGAGCAATTCTAGAGAAAAGGATTCGCCAATTGAGTAAACAACCTGGGATCCAACTCAATGCTTGTGTCGATTGCTCTACTTTTAGAATGTTTCCCCACAAATGCTCTTTATAAATAACTCCCAATATGGTTCATACAATACAATCAGATGCTGTAATAAACAAGCACCAGAGCTGGGATTGTTGCCCCGGAAAGGGCAGTTATTGCTAAATCCTCTAATGTGTTTGTGTGTTTGAGATAAATGAAGCTGTAAGAACACCATGTCTAGTGAGATATATTGGCAATAATTGGTTAAGAACTTGATTTAACAAACAAAAACATAAAAGTCAATGTATAAATCACGTGTTAATTCCCCAAAACACAAATTATTTTCATAGAAAAAAGGAAAATCTAACTTAATATAAATTAACCCAACCTGGTGATTAATAGTTGTGCATTAACAAGGACAATGAATTAAAGCCAGGCAACTGATACAATAAGATGGTTAAAGATGAAATTGTCGAAAGAGAGGGTGGAGTTCTAGATTGTGATACTGTAAGAAGGGATACAGTTGTGCCTTTAGTTAAGCTAAATAGTGCAGATTTCTTAACTACTTCCTTCCAAGTGTCCCTAGGGAAGTTTTATTTCATATAGCAGTAAGGATGTTTAAAGAAAACATTCAACAACATCTATAATCCATACAAATAAGTGAATGCTTTGATTTTAAAAGTTGCAAGATTTCATCTCATATCCCACCAAGACCCACAAAAAAAAAAGCACATGTGCCAATGGTCAGAATACACAGCGGGGATACTCAAAATTGTAACCTAGTGCCTTCCTAGTAGCCCTTGATGGCCAGGAGGTTGAAATTGATATGTTGTAACAAAAATAATAGAACAAAGGGAAGGAAAACAGTGCTGACATGGAATGTGCACCAACATCTAGAGACCTTGCTAGAAGATGCAAAGAAAAAGGAAAATAAAAAGTAAGTAAAATACTGGATTTAAAAAGGATTTGTTGGGAAGCTAGACAGGGAGAGGCTTACATAAACAGCAATGAGGGACAGTCAACAAATGAGAATGAATATGTACGTTTAATTGTTCACAGCTTTCAGTAAAAGTTATTGCACTTCCAATAGGAACATCCTTAAATTAAACATACTTCACCTTATGAACAAATATATACAATTTTACATTAATAACCACCAAAGAAATATGAAAACATGTTGTACTCCTTTTCTGTCAACAGTTCTAAGCGGTAGGAGGTCAGTAACCTACAGTTCAGAAACTCCTCTTTAATAAATTGTCTGTGTTATGAGGGTCACAAAAAGAAACTGAAGATCTTCCAACATCAATCATGATTTGTAAAGCTACAACTTTGCTACAAAACTGTCGAATGTCAAATGAAAAATTATGCAAGTGCTTTGGAGACCACAACCCCAACCAAACATCCTAAACACAACCAAAAACACTGAAATCATTCATGGTAGATATGTACATAAAAACACAAACCTATAAAAAGGAGTTGAGAGCAAGGTCTTGTGGGGATTCTTTAGGGGCATGTTTTAGTGCATATATGAGGGAGTTTACTGAAGAAAAAACAAAAAACATGAAATTGTGCTTGAAAGGGGGACTAGATACCATAACCACTTTAGCTTGAGTGCTATGACTAGGTTCCTGCATTCTTAGATTAATTGTCCGTGCCACAAACAGGTAATTGAGTGCAAGTTATATCAGTCAGAAATTTAAAAATTAAACTTTCTGGGTGGCATGCAAACATACACCAATGAGGTTGTATGTCACTGCTACCTGCAGTCAATGCCTCTCTCAGTCCAAATACTGTCCATGTTGTGATTGGTGACTGGTAAATGCAGCCAAACTTGACCAGCACCAGACAGACCAGGACAGTCCTGGCACTTGCAAGCACTCACTCCTGGGGAGAAGTTCCTTCAACTCACTCAAAATCATCGTGCATAATGTGTGCTGAAAGATGGGAACTGTAATTTAAATTTTTCTGACTGTTTGCAACCGGCACTAAAAGCTCCTCTTAAGTCTAACAATGAAAAGACCTCTTCATAGTACCATAACCACTTCAATATCATGCGGTTATGGTGCCTAGAGTGTCCTTAGTTAAATGTATTGTGTGCTAGGAACAAATACACTGCTCTCCTTCAACATGCCCTGAGAAGGAAGACTGCTCAAACGTAGAAATGTAAAAAACACGTTGCTATGGAGAAGCATCTTGGTATTTCTACAACAGCTGGCAATATACTTCTTGCATACACATGTTTTTAGAATCATTAAATAGATCTTGAAAACAAACTTAATTTTGGTGTTGTGATAAGTAGTATCTATAATGCACTGTGAACTACAATTTACTTTAAGGTCATGTTACTAGCGTCATTGTTCACTATTTCCTTTTGGCAGCTCAGAGCAACAGCTTCAAACAAGACTGACAAAAATATAAAGTGCATAAAAAGACACCCTATTGGTTTGTAATCATTAAAACTAGAGTGAAAAGAGAGGAAAACTTCCCAAATGATTAATGGTACACGGATACTACATTAGTTTGTTCCAATAAAGAATACATTTCAGAAATGGCTAAAAATCATGTCTGCTTCAAAATAAGGCATTAACATTCCAATACATTTTTGGTGACCGATTTTGTATCTTTGTGGTCAAATATTTCAACATGGGCTATTCACTAAACAATGAGGCTCGCTTAAAGAACCACTAAAGTCTCCACTATCACTTGTCTGGGTGTGGTGGTCTTTTTAAATTGCTGTTTTTTTTTGAATTGCAGTGTTTACATGACCGGTTAAACACATCTCTAGTGGGTGGTGGTCTTCCAGACCACCACTAGAAGTGCTTCATCTACGACAGAGTAAATCGTTCACGTGAAGCTGCAGCTCATATGAATGCATTGAGTTTAATGATGATGATGATGAGAAGCATTTGGATCTGTAACACTCAAGACAAATGCATATCAGTCTCCAATGCTCAGAGGAACATTAGATTGGCCATCGGCTTGAAAGCGAGATGACGTCACAGTAGGCAGAGTGACCAGCAGCACAGACCGTCTCAGTGCTTAAAGGTAAACTTTTTTCCACTGGAAATGCTGGAGGGTGTTTATTTTTTTTGTACTTTGTGTAAAAAGACAAAGTTCAAAAAGAGCTGCATGGCTTCCACATAGGAAATTTTTGGCTGACGAAAAATAAATATCTTTGATTTTCTCTGGGCCTGCCTATAGCTGTGAAAATATACTTATACATAACTTGTTGTATACATTCGAAATACAGTTTTTAATTTTACCCCAAAACTGAGATAAAAAACAAAAACCCTCAAAAAATATATACCAAAAAAAAAGTTTACTTTTGATCTGGGGCAAAATATCCTTGTGAGCTACAGCAATTGACCATGAAGACAATCTGCAATAAATATAGAAATACAACAATATTATATCACAAATTAGTTCTGCAAATTATTATTCAGACTCCGATTGCCTGTAGTGTTCTGTATGCAGCCAATAGAAGAGAGGATCTTAACTAAGAATCCCACCAAATCTAGAGTTGATGGCTAACCCTAGCACTGCAGACTATCAAATATGTAAAATAGGCAATGCAGTGGCAAGATAAGCCTTCATTGTTGTCAAGGGTTCCTTCGTTGTTTGCTCTAAGCATATACATTAAATCCAAGATGGATTATTTAAAATACACATATAGACCAAAATACTCCTTTCTTAAAGATAAAGTAGAATGACAAACAAACATGCACAAAACCAAAATATGAGGATGACTGTTTGTACTGCCTTGGAATTTAAATCACTAAAAAAAGAAGTTAAACCTGCAACGCTTGGCCGAAACGGATTTAGAAAATTACCCATGGCTTTTCTAAACGTGTACTTTTTTGTATGTCAACCTCAAGTTCACTGAATACGGGGGGGGAGAGGGGGGAATGGGGGAAGGGGGAATTGAGTCTTAGCAAAAGTACGGTTTTGTTGGGAAACTAAAATATTAGCTATAAACATTTTTAAAGTAGCCTGTACACCATGTGTGTAAATAAAAAAAAAATAAAAAAATTTAATGGGTGGCATACAGAGGAAGAGTCACAGCATGTGTCCGATGTTAAAGCCTATATTGTATGGTTTCAACATGCAAGCACCGGCCGTGTTTAATATGTCCAATATTTACATATCAAAATAATTTAAATATATAAAGAAATATGTTTTTTGTAAGCTGTACAAACTAAAAATTAACTCGCCATCAGTGGCCATTTTGTGTTTCTATTCTATAAAGTGTTTATGTTAAAGGAAACAAATCAATAAAAAACCAGTAGCAGAAAAGGTAGCTGGATGCCAATCAGTGGCACCCCAGTTCAAGGCTTCCTGTTTCAAGAATCAGATATAAGTGGAAAGGTAGTGACAGAGCTAAACAGCACCTAAAGGTAAGCTGGCATCAGGGACCTCCTGGCACCATAATGTCATCCAGATGACGTTGCTATGGTGCCAGGAGTGTTCCTTTAAAAGAGTGATATATAACTGTTCTGCTGCCAAGATCTTACAAATATAGTTAACAAACATTCATGACAATGGCTAGTCAGAGCAGATGATGTAGCCGGTCAGAATATTACCATACAAGCAGAGAATGCACAGTATTCACATAAAAAAAAAAAAAAAATAGATGACAGGTGAAAATGCAACATTAAAGCAATTATTGTACAGCTACAACTACTACCCTCAACCTAAACATGAGAGAGTTGTTAGAGCCCAACTATATTATGGAGAATCGAGATGGAGAACTGAACAGAGCTTAAATAAAAAATAAAAAATAAAAAAATAATAATTTACAAACACTGATCATACTTAAAAGTGTCTCCACTAAACAGTGAGTAGCAGTGTGCAGACAACTGATTTGGGAATATTCTCCAATTTATTTAAGCTGGATTTGTATCCACCACACTGATTTTGTAAGCCTGCTGTCAACACACCAATTGGTGAATAAACTCAAGTGATTAATTAGGCTTCCAAACCGTGATTTAACCATGGCATACATAAACACAGCAATTCTGTCCACTGATATTCATGCAACTATCCATCACGTGACAATAGTTGTTTGGCTGAATAAGAGACTAATTTTTGTTTTGCCAAAGCAAACAGGAAAGGAAAGCTATATAAAATAAATAAGCTTTGTGAAAAATAAGTATAGTCAGAAAAAGATGGGTAATCAATATTAGAAAGTTCATTGTTAGAACAATCAAATGAACAAAGATTAAAGGGAAATAGGAAATAAAAATGTACAAAAATAAAAAGCAGAATCTCCATTAAAGCAATACTCAGAAGGGAGGCACCTCAACTTATACAAATTAAATGGTTTGCATTTTTTTCTTTAAAGCCAAATAATGGTTTTAGCAAGAGTGTTTTTTTTTTCTTTTTAAAATGTTAAAATATTAAAACTTTACCCAATGATCAGGTTTCCATGTAACAGATGACTAATGGAAGAAGTTTCTATATTTTCATGTGTAAGAAATCCTCCATTGTTATATATTTAATGATTGGTCATTTTAAAAAGGTTAGTTCTAGTGGTACTCCCTACATAAGTAGAAAATAAGACTTGCAATATTGCATAAAGTAGATTTTTTGGCTAAAAATATTTGGCTAAAAGGGACACTACAGTTACCAAAACAACCTTAGCTTAATTAAGCAGTTTTTGTGTACAGATCATACCTCTAAGGTCTCACTGCTCAATTCTCTGCCATTTACAAGTCAAATCATTTGTTTCTTTCCAGCCCTAGCCACACATCCCCCGGCTGTGACTCGCTGGCTGCATGGGGAAAAAAAAAAATATTAGATGTTAACTTACTTTAGAAGTTGTATCTAATGCTCAGAAAATTAAACTTTAAAGTGATACTGTAGTGCAAGGAATACAAAGCTGTATTTCTGGCATTACCAATCCCTCTGCCTCCCCTCTCCTACGTGCCCCTCCTCCCAGGTAAATAAAGGGTTAAAAACCCTTTATTTACTTACCTGACCCAGGGCCGATGACCCTCAGCGCTTGGTCGAAGCACTGTCCCCATTGCTGTCCCGCGACAATCTGGGTCTATTGTGAATGCACAGCAATAGCCGCACACACATTAGACCTCTTCATAGGAAAGCATCATTCAATGCTTTCCTATGGGGATTCTGGTGACGCTGGAGGTCCTCATGCATAGCGTGAGGATGTCCAGCGTCATTTAAAAAAAAATTTTTTTGTGTTCTAAGAAGCCGGAAGCACCATCTACCGGCTGTCTGAGAGACAGCAGCTAGAGGTGGGATTAGCCCTGTAATCAAACCACTGCGGTTTTTCCAAAACCGCAGTATTTTAACTAACAGGGCTAAGGAGACAGGGGCAAGGCACCCAGACCACTCCAATGAACTGGAGTGGTCTGGGTGCCTGGAGTGTCCCTTTAATCACACAGGAGGCACCTGCAAGGTCTACCAAGTTATCAACAGTGCAGGTGACAATGTCTAAAATAAGCAGACTGTTGAATAAAGGAAGTGTAAACATTAGGTCCACTTTACAGTAAGTGCTTAGGAAGGCTGTTTAAATCACATGTAGGGAGGTGTGACTGCATAAACAAAGTGATTTAACTCCTAAATGGCAGATAATTGAGCAGTGACACTGCAGGGACATGATCTATATACCAAAACTACATCATTGAGCTAAAGTTGTTTTGGTGTCTATAGAGTCCTTTAAGTTTAGAAATTCATATCTAAAGTTTAAATCACTTATAAAACACAATAACTGAGGGCTCTCCCTAAATATACGTTTCACTTTCTATCACATTTTTTAACTGCCAAAAAAAAAAAAAAAATAGAAAAGAAAAAAAAAGTGTGGCTGAAGGGGGAGGAAAGGGTGTGAAGGGAGATCAGGCATTTTATTCTCCAAACATTAGTAAAGAGTAAAATCAACCATGACAATTTGAGTGGAGTTTGTCCCATGGTGATTGGTGTGTAGTCCGAAAAAGAAAAGAGAGAAAAAAAAAAAAAAGTGAGCCCCTTGTTAGTAGCTTGGATAGTCAGAAGAAAATATTTCCACAATGCAGAAGATCCATTTTTTCATGCCCGAACAAAGCCAAAGGCCATGCCCTTTCCTTAGCGGTGAATACACCAGTGGGTTGTGAAGGGAGTAGCAACTGGACAGCACTGCTGTGTTCATTCGAGTGGCAAATGTGAAGAATTTGCTTGGTCCCTTATCCCGCCCCCTCTTTCTGTGATGTTCATGCTGGTCCCTTTTACAGTATGGATGTATTTGTGGGTTTAGTTCCAGTGCTAAGTAAAACTATAAGAACACAAGACTTTAGAAGTAAGAGAGGTGCTGGAGTGGCAGTGCAGTTACTTGAAGGCTGTAAATTCGCCTGCAGAAGGACAAGAAAACCAGGTTTATTACAAGTGGATAAGTCAGTTTGTGAAAAGATACAGCATTTCTGTAAACAAATTTGATAAAAAAAAAAAGAAAGTGCAAAATCTTGACTCAAGGACCACCACAAATTTTAAAGATGAAGATGACAACCAATCCTGTTACTTCCCAATTTCTTTAGAGCAGTGGAGCTGAACTCAATAGGCAGGCAATTGCCCAGAGAACCTCAATGAACTGCATTGTCTGATTGGACAGCCACTGAAAGTCTACTTTAAGAAATATCCCAAATGAAAAAATACGTAAAAAAGCACGCATGTTTTGATTGTGTGTACATCTACTAAACAGTGACTTATTTGGGCAGTGGGTTGTCCCATTAAGCAAAATATAAAATGGTTTTACATTAAATGCTTAAAATTTGATCAAACAAAAAGGCAAAAGTGATATACCCTTACAACAATATTTATAGCATGTATGCAGAAATTCTAATTCAAGGTTAAAAACAGACAAACAGAAGACACAGTGGACATTGAGAACTTTTCTATCTTGGCTATTTTATATTGTGTAAATTGTGATGAATTTAAAATTAATTTAAACACTTTTCTGAATAACTCTGTTCATGGGGAAGTTTTGTATAGGTCACTTCATGCAAGTGAATGACCAATATGAATGAAGCAATGTGCTACTTTTAAGTACCAGTGGAAAGAAATTGACTTGATTGATGTAGACTGGGAAAAGAAAGGTGTGGGGTGAAGGGGACATCCAGCCCTTCACAAAAAATGTTTCTGCTACTGATCAAAAAGAAGGTGAAAACAAAAAAAAATGGCGAAAAAAATTTAACCGTAAAATATTTTGTAGTCCATCTCAAAAAGAACAAATTAAAAACTTCAGATTTAGGCAGAACATTTTATATTTTACTTTCAAAATAAGCAAAGACCCCTGAAAGTGACAGTCGCTTTAAGATGCTTTTCCCCCCCTACAGTAAACAAATAGTGTGAGGAATATAAACATGTATTTCTAACACCATAACAATTTAACGTACCTTTTTTCCATCGCCATGCTGACCTCACTGTAGCTGGTATACTGGGGAAGATCAATTATCAACAAAATGCAGTGCTGAACCAATCAGCATCACCTCACAGTGGGGCATCGAATCAATGCAGCTATACGGAAAGTGTTAAACGTCTCCATGCAAAGCTGGACTAAATGACCTAACCCAGGAAGCACCTCTAATGGCCATCCGAGTGACTGCCACAAGAGGTATTACTAGGCAGTGTTCTTAGCATGTCCATGCAGGCTCAGCAATGTAGACACCAGAACCACTACATTAAGCTGTAGTGGGATCTAGTGACTACAGCGCCCTATTAAGCCCATTTTTATCACCAGTTTTGTAATATACTTATTGAAAACAAGCTTGGGACAATGGCAGGGATAATACATTAACAAGTACGTAACAGGATAAGTTGACTTTATGCTTTTTACACCATGACTGGCCTTGGGAACTGCTGACTGATACTGCACACTGTTGCCCAATGTATGGTCTATGTAGGGTCTATAACAAACCATGTTATGTATGGTGTTCTATAACTCAGTCATATTGTGGGTAAAAGTTCCTCATTCCAAAAGGCAATACTGACAGCCAGTGAACAACTCTAACAAGTATGGCACCTACCAAAAAGTCTAGCACAAGTTAGGTTTCTAAATTTGTGAAACAAAGTGCCAAAGAAAATTATGGCTGTGCATGTTTCTTCTCTCTTGGGAATGTAGTTGACTTGTCGTAGCTTATTTTCAATATTCCTAATTTAGACTTTACTTGTCTTATGTTAAATGACGCAAAAAAGTATGGTGGAATGTGCATCACTTCTCTTTAAACTCTGCAAACCTGGAGCACAAAATATGAAATAAGTACAGATCCACCCTCACGTCCCAAAACATTTTTTTAAACATTCACACAAAAACCTGGGCTTTGCAGTCAGGAATAAGTCACACTCCTAAAAATTACTCCAGCATGTTATTGCCTTTTTGTCTCGGTAGCTAAAAAATGTTCTGGAAAGTTCTGAAATTTCAATCAATATGAAATATAAAAATTAAAAGAATTAAAATGCTGGAACTGGTAAATCCAATCCCAATCATTTAAGGTAAATCATGTGCTTTATTGAAAAAAAAAGAAAAAATGATAACCCTACCTCGAAATGCGCAAGTAACACCTTTAACCGCAACAGCAAGTACATTACCAGCAAAGACAAATACAGTTGCAAGAAAAAGTATGTGAACCCTTTGGAATGATATGGATTTCTGCACAAATTGGTCATAAAATGTGATCTGATCACCATCTAAGTCACAACAATAGACAATCACAGTCTGCTTAAACTAATAACACACAAAGAATGAAATGTTGCCATGTTTTTATTGAACATACCATGTAAACATTCACAGTGCAGGTGGAAAAAGTATGTGAACCCTTGGATTTAATAACTGGTTGAACCTACTTTGGCAGCAATAACTTAAACCAAACGTTTCCTGTAGTTGCAGATCAGATGTGCACAACGGTCAGGAGTAATTCTTGACCATTCCTCTTTACAGAACTGTTTCAGTTCAGCAATATTCTTGGGATGTCTGGTGTGAATCACTTTCTTGAGGTCATGCCACAGCATCTCAATCGGGTTGAGGTCAGGACTCTGACTGGGCCACTTCAGAAGGCGTATTTTCTTCTGTTTAAGCCATTCTGTTGTTGATTTACTTCTATGCTTTCGGTCATTGTACCGTTGCAACACCCATCTTCTGTTGAGCTTCAGCTGGTAGACAGATGCCCTAAGTTCTCCTGCAAAATGATTTTTATTAAATTTAAAATTAAATCTTGATAAACTTGGGAATTCATTTTTCCTTCGATGATAGCAATACATCCAGGCCCTGACACAGCAAAGCAGCCCCAACCACCATACTTCACAGTTGGGATGAGGCTTTTTTTTCTCCACACATAGTGCTGTGTGTTTCTTCCAAACAACTCAACTTTGGTTTCATCTGTTCACAAAATATTTTGCCAGTACTGCTGTGGAACATCCAGGTGCTCTTGTGCAAACTGTAAACGTGCAGCAATGTTTTGTTTGGACAGCAGTGGCTTCCTCTGTGGTATCCTCCCATGAAATCCATTAGTGTTTTACGTATTGTAGATTCGCTTACATAGATGTTAGCATTTGCCAGTGACTTTTGTAAGTCTTAAGCTGACATTAGGATTCTTCTTCACCTCATTGAGCAGTCTGCGCTGTGCTCTTGCAGTCATCTTTACAGGACGGCCACTCCTAGGGAGAGTAGAAGCAGTGCTGAACTTTCTTCATTTATAGACAATTTGTCTTACCGTGGACTGAGGAACAGCAAGGCTTTTAGAGATACTTTTATAATACTTTCCAGCTTTATGCAGGTCAACAATTCTTAATCGTAGGTCTTCTGAGAGCTCTTTTGTGTGAGGCATCATTCACATCAGGCAAAGCTTCTTGTGAAAAGCAAACCCAGAACTGGTGTGTGTTTTTTATAGGGCAGGGCAGCTGTAACCAACACCTCCAATCTCATCTCATTGATTGGACTCCAGTTGGCTGACATCTCACTCCAATTAGCTCTTGGAGATGTCATTAGTCTAGGGGTTCACATACTTTTTCCACCTGCACTGTGAATGTTTACATGGTGTGTTCAATAAAAACATGGCAACATTTCATTCATTGTGTGTTATTAGTTTAAGCAGACTGTGATTGTCTATTGTTATGACTTAGATGATGATGATCAGATCACATTGTATGACCAATTTGAGCAGAAATCCATATCATTCCAAAGGGTTCACATACTTTTTCTTGCAACTGTATCACCAACCAATACACAGCATTATATGCCAAGCCAGGTAGCCAGATATGGCTAGCTAAATAACCCTTCAAGTGTAATTTTACATTTGTGTTCTCAAAGTTGGTCTGTACTTTGGCCACATTGTAGCAGGCACATATACACATTGTTAGAGTTAATGTTATTCAATAAATAGTCTTTAATGGCAGTGTAATTTCTGGTATTCTATTTGTATACCATATGTTGAGTGATGGCAATTACTCTATTTGTAGGCAGCAGGATAATGGAAGAGGTTAAAGTTTACTTCTGTTGTCTTCTTTAATTCAAAATATATTCAATCCACTTGCTGCTCCCCAAAATTTAAAAAAAAATGTTAAATGCCCCAAATGAACGAGCCATTTTAAAAATTAAAATCTATAACATCTCAGCAGGTAAGGAACATCTGTTCACCAATGGATTTCAGAATTTTTTTTTTTTTCATACTTCTTTCTATTCTTTTTTAAATTACAGTTTTGCACAGGAAAACAAACATCCCATTTGGCAGTAAAAGAGTTATGACATAGAATTTGTTATATATGTATCTGGTTGTATTATCAGCTTCGGTTGGGTGGAGAAAGGAGAATAAATAAGTTTCTATTTCAGTACTTTTTAGTAAACTAGAAAAAAATAAAATTAAAACCAAATCCATTTTAAAGAACAGTTGAAATAAATTTAGTGTTAATGCAAATATGATGTTCTAGAAGAAAAAAAAAAAAAGTAAAGAAAGAAACATAACAGAATCTTCCCCCTTCCTACAACAATAATAGGAATACACTAAAGTGTTCAATGCAGCAAACCAAACATTCTTTGTACTCAAATTATATACACATACATACATATAAACACAGACACACAAAAAACATTTTGCAGACATTTATACAGACTGACTGTACAATCTTTTGGAGATTTCCCTGTACATCATAACATCTTATCAATACACTGATCTGCTATATGAACCAAGGCACACTCCTGCCAGCAGGGAGTTAAGTGCTTGCAAAGATTTCCCCAACAACGCATTCTCAAAGTCTGTGTATGGTAAACCCACCATATCCTCCGACTTGGATGGGAGTTTTTGGAGAAGCACAGGCATAGAGGCTAAAGTCTTCCGTCTGGAAGCCAGCTCGATTCAAGGACGGCTCTGACGCACTGCGGTGAATTTTTGGCAATGATCGGGCCAGGAGTTCAATGGATGCAAGTATCTAAGGAAAAGGGAAATTAAAAAACCCAAAAACTTAAAGAGCATAGTGCAATACAGACATGTGTCCTCTAGGCTCGTTTTAGACAAAGCACATGATATTCAGTCAGTATCTAAAAGAGCATTATGAGTAAGACACCATCAATTATGTGGTGCCAGAGTTTAAGCATTGCTTGTGTAGACAGGTAATGCTGGATATTTTTGCCAAGATGCAATGATATAGAGAGACTTAAGCAGTGGTATCAATAGAGAATAAAATCCATTAGAAAAAACATTGAATTAAATCAACTTACATTTATATTGGTTAAAGGGACACTATAGTCACCAGAACAACTACAGCTTATTGAATTTGTTCTGGTGAGTAGAATCATTACCTTCAGGCTTTTTGCTGTAAACACAGTCTTTTCAGAGAAAACACAGTGTTTACATTACAGCCTAGTGATAACTTCACTGGCCACTCCTTAGATAGCTGTTAGAGATCGTTCCTGGGTCATGGCTGCCTAAAATGCATCCAAACATTCAGTGTCTCCACCCTCTGCATGCAGACACTGAACTTTCCTCATAGAGATTCATTGATTCAATTAATCTATATGAGGAGATGCTGATTGGCCAGGGCTGTGCTTAAATTGTACTGGCTCTGCCCCTTTGTCAGTCTCAGACAATCCTACGGGGAAGCATTGTGATTGGGTCAGGCTACCACTTCTGATGAAGTCATCAGACTGCTTGTTTTTCTGAGTCTAACCCCCCCCATTCTTAAACCCTACAACTGAAAACATTGTCATTCTGCAAGAATGTCAATGTTTTCACTGCATGGGTAACATGCTCCTAATGCACACTCAACTCCCAGCACTTTCCTATGACAAAGCACTGGATTGGTTGAGATCAGTCTCAATGATCTCAGCCAAGAGGGGGTGCAGAATTCCAGAGCCAGTGAGGGAGAAAAAAGTAAAATCACATTTTAAACCGGGCTTGGTCACTTACATGTATTCCCAATGCTACAGTGTTCCTTTAAAGAAACACTACAAACACCATATAATGCAAGGAGTGTCCTGGCACACTCCCACAGTAAATGGTTAAACTGTTTAAGAATGGTTTGACAACTAACCTGGAGCCCACCAGGATCTCACCTCTGTCTCCTGGAGTCCAAGGCTCCTGCAAGGAGCTGTAATGGTGAGTGGAGTGTTCCTTTAAAGTGGCAATGTATTATGGTATTAATGAAGGTCCACTGAGACACAATAGGTTTGGTTCTTACCTGTGGGAACAGGGGCCGTTCATCCCTTTTCTTCTTTAGGCAATCTGCCATTAACCTCTTCATTGCTTTTGGACAGTTACTCCGAACCTTGCTGAGATCGGGGGACAAATAACCTCTCCCAACCATGAATATTATCTGAAAAATGTGATGGCAAAATAAATTTAATAGAAAAACCCAAACACAACACTGGATTACCCTGAATCATTTATCTCCCTTATCCAAACCCAATGCTTCCTAATTCTATTGCCAACTACCAAGTTTAAGTAGCTATTCTTTACTCCATCATCTGGAGACCCGTTTACCTTTTCCTGGAATGTAACTAGTAATTTCTTGTCATATTTGCAACACATGAGGCAATTTAATTTCTCTTTCTTCTCATGATTAATCTACAAGTTGCAAGCATTTCCACCTATATGGACATAACTGTTATACACACTGCCAAATAGAGGCAAAAATGCAACAATTGTGTGTTGAGCAAAAATGGTCCACTGACTAGCGGGACACCAAAAGTATTTGGAACGTGTGGCAGAATTGCCAGTAAGCACTCACAAATCATAAAACATAAAATCTTCCATATCTCCTTATCCCCCACACACACTTGTGTCTCTTTCCTTACTCCTCTTTGCGTTTTTATCCTTGTGTGCCCACCCCATCCCCGTGTATTGTGGACAGCAGGTTCACAGCAGAGGATCTTCATCTCTAGCCAGTCTGTCAAAAGCTGACCAAGGCTACCAGCATGCAAGGTGAGTGGAAGATATGATGTTTAGTCCTAAATTCATCTCTGCAAGCACAGTGCCACTCAGAGCTTCACCACTGACAGACTGAGCAGTGGAACCAGAAGCTCTCCCAGGATGCTTAAGTTTGTACATTACTAGCTGGTGACTAATTGATGCAATAAAAAGGAGAAGTCCCAGGGCAACCTTATGCATCAGTTACTCTAAACTGATTACCTTTAATATATCTCTAGCACTAGAGATGGACCAGTCTGCCAGAGTTCTCCCTTTCAATGGTTTAAAACATCCCTGAAATACTTACGAGTGTTGCCAACTAAAGAGCTCTGCCAACTCTATCAAGCAAACTTTCTTCAGATCCTTAACCAATTTCTCCACCCCTTGGAGGATGGTGCGTAGCCACAATTTTTCTAGCTTGGCAGAGTGGGGATACTCAAAATGTAAAAGAATCTTCTCCCACTTGCACTTCATCCTTTTCAATCGAATTCCCAAAGCTTTTTTCACAGCTTTACACTCCCTTATCCTTAGGTTTATTTGGGACAACACTAAACCATGCATCAGATATGTTACCCTCATGCTACGGTCAGGCTTTCCTGGACTTCAAACTATTACCAAGTTAAACATCTACAAAGGATGGTGAAGTAATTCATGTTAATTTGTGAAAAGAGGTGGAGGCTGCGTATGTTTGCAGATCAATTATTGTTTTGGCATGGATGGACAAACCTCAGTGAGAAAGATTAGAGGCTTGTCAGCCCCGATATAGGCTATACTTTGTATTTGGCATGCTATTGCCACCAAACTAGATGTTCCTTTTTTTTTTGGTACAAGACTCCAAAAGCTTTCAAAACCTATATTGACAATCAGTGTTGGTGGTGTCAGCAGACAAAGGATACGCTTTTCCACTTATGGTAGGAATGTCTCCATATTCGTTAATACTGCAAAAAATTGCATAAGATACTGAATATATTTTAAGGCAATCCCTCTTTTCTCCATCCTGCCCCATTCCTATTGCACCATACAATAGCCTGTCATAGATTTCTTATAGGCTGAGGAACAATTAGAATCCTGAATGGAGCCAAAGGCCTGCTACTGCTGTTTTTTTTTGGGCAGTAGCAGCCCCCATAACTTGTGGTACCAACTCAAGGAGGAGCTCATTTTTATTGCCAATGGAAACCAAACTTACCATGATATTTCAACCCACTGGCTTCTATGCGGGACATTTACAAGCCCTCTAAATATGAGGTTCCAAAGTCCAATATAACAATTAGGGAGGTAACTCACTCTACACCCCCCTCCCCCCTTTTTTCTCCTGCATGTCCTCCGGTACATATACAAACCTTAAGGTTTTTCCTTTTAGTGAACTTCTAATAGCATCACTTGTCCAAAGAGAGTAGAATGCCTTTATAAAATGTCATACAGCTTCCATCTTTAGCAAATATTGTAATGGCACATTTCTTACAAGCTTATTTAAAACTTTTTCACCTTTTGTTGAAAAGAAAAATAATAAAAACAGAATTTAAAATTGCCCTTTGTGAATTAATTGCCTTTGTGAATGGACAACTGACTTGCCAAACTGCCACAAACAACAAGAAAATATTTTCCAGACTATTTTATTCTGTTATCTTCACGTTGATGGTCAATTCTGTTTAGTGAACAGGCTGAAAGAGTAACTACAATTACACTGCTGTTTCACAGAAGTATAAAATATAAGACATTACCTGGTCCCTGTTGTTGATGTTGGCATAAGGCAATTGTCCAGTCATTAATTCATACAGAACAATGCCAAACGCGTAGACATCCGACTGAAAGCTGTAGGGGTTTTTGTCCTGCATTCTAATTACCTCTGGAGCCTGAAATGGAAAAAAAAAAAGTCCAAGATAGAGGTAAGTCATGACACATGGGCCAGTCAGTCTGGGAGCTGTAGCCTGCAAAAATATAAGTTCCACAAGAAGTAAATCTTAAACCAGCTATATTTCAAGGGCTGCAAAGTAATCTCAGAAACAGAATGCCAAAACATAAACAGATATAAAAAGTTTACAGTATTGGCACCTACCATCCAGAGTATGGACCCTGATAATTGCTCAAACTGATGCGAGCCACTCCACCGGGACTTCACTGTAGCAAGACCAAAATCACCTATCTTTACCGTGAGGTCTTCATGAAGAAAAATATCTGAAATTGTTAGTCAAGGGATAACGACAATAGGCAAAATGTAAACAATAACGAAATATAAAAATTAAAATCTGTTCTGTCACATCGGAAGATGAAAATCGGTGGAGTCACGTTGTTAGAATTCGCCATTTCTTCAATCTGTATTCATGTAAGAGAAATTGCCAACACTAGTAAATAAAAACACCTAAGCTCTGGAATAAATGGAGAGTACTTTAAAATAATGTACCGATTTTCTTGTAGAAGTGACGTGGCTTCTAGCTGAACAGTTTAATGCTAGATGGGTGGTCTTTTCAGAAATAGTCTTAACATACTCCAACATTAAGAGTGGAGAATGCAAAATACCTTATTTCACTAAACTGGTAATCTGCAATGTAATTACAAACTGAAGGCCAATATAGCTTATTATAAGATTATTATTTATTTAATCCTTGGCTATTATTCCAAGTAAATCAATTACGGAGTGAGGAGTCAAGACCTAATTATGCAATTGCTATACAGCATCTTTTAATGTGCCATTTGGCATGGAAAATATCCAGTCAACAATCATCTGTAGTGCCATGGTTAGCCATCACTGCCTTGCCCAATGTATACAATATTATATTTTACTCTGCTTCCCATAAGAGGTTTATTACAATCAAAACCCCCCCAAAAAAATTTAAAAAAAAAAAGTTATACAAAATGGATGTAGAAGCCGAATGCTAATTGCAAATTTGATATTAGCAAACTAGCTTCCACTTACCATTCTGGTATCAAAAAAAACAAAACAAAAAAACAAACAAAAAAAAAAACAGTCCACCGAAGAGCACTATCTTAAATCTGTATCATATAAAGCATGTTCTGTTTTAACCACTCCTACAGTAGATTCTGCAGCACATATACATACATATATATATACACACATACATATATATACATACATACATATATATATATATATATACACACATATACATACACACACACTGCTAGATTTCTATCTTCAAACTCAGAAAGCTCACCCACTATCTCGAACAATGTTCCCATACTAAATACATAAAATGTGGAGCACCAATAGTGTTTAAATTACCTACACCAAAAACATAACTGTACGCAGACATATATCCAGTAGATGGCACCAATTAGCCATTTGAAACCACTGACTGGTGCCATCTACTGGATATGCAAGTATATGTACAATTTTTATGTTTCTGGTGTGGGGAATTTATACACACCATCACTGTTCCAATTTGTATGTATTTGCTTTTACCGTGTGCTGTGGTGAAACACTAAAGCGTGCAGCAGTTATTACATGTGCATTGCATCTAAACATTTCAATGTATTTATGAGATTCAGGAAGTGTGAATTATTTTTTTCCCATTTTCTCCCTTTCTTAATATTTTTAGCGCTTCTTAAAACAATGTTCCCATACAGCTGAGCATTGGAGTACAACTCACACCACACATTTATGCTATGTTCCTACTTCAGCCATGTCCCTTGCCTCATCTGCATCTATGCTCATGATCCTACATGCCTTTAACTCCCTTCTTCTCACTGCAACCTTGCCATTACCTAACCTCACAGCAAGTGATTGTGTCACTTTACTGAGAATGCAATATCCCCTCTTTCTCATTTCCGCACAGCTTCCATTCTTAACTACTTTCCCCTGTCCCTAAACTTCTCTACTCCCACCCCAGCCCATGTCCTGGAATATATTGCAAATATCCTCTCTTACATCTCTAACTGGATGTCTGCCAGTTTAAAAAAATAAAAAACTCAAATCCCTATATTCTTTCCTCAAATATTTCACCTCCATCAATCTCCCTACATGTTAATGGGGAAGCTACTACCCCAATCTCTCAAACTCACTGCTTTTCAGTTATTTTATAGTCAGGTCTTACCCTTTCTCCTCACACCCAGGCTGTCTCCAAATCTTGTATCTTCCACCTTAAAAATATTGCCCACATTTGCCTTTTTCTAACTTTGTATACAATTAAGGCACTTGTATATACATTTATTTCCCTACTTGACTACTGCAACTCACGTCTCACTGGTGTTCCAAATACCTGCATTGTACCTCTTCAGTTTGTAATGGAGGCCACCGCCATGCTAATCTTCCTGACTCACTGCTACTTTAACACCTCACCCCCTCTGTACCCATCATGATTCAATTCAAACTGCTAATTCAAACACTAACCTGCTAAGCCCTCAATAATGCCACTCCTTGCTATATTTCCTCTACACTCAACAAATAAACCCATTCTCGTCCTGTCATCTGCTCGTTTACTTCATCTCCGTTAATATTCTCTACATTAATTACTTGCAAATATGCCCATTCTATTACTGTAAAGCACTATATAAATATATGTTAGGGGAACATTTTACACAATTGCTTTAAAGGTTAAAGGATACTATTGCTCTTCAGATCTCTATGTATGATCGATTTGGCGTGCAAATAGCTGTAAAAACAAACAAACAAATATATAAATAGAATTTTCTTGACAAGATAAATGTGGGGAAAAAAAATAAATAAAAAGGGGGTTGGGGCAAATTAGTTGATTTAAAAAAAACTTACTCCATTCCCTGTGCTGTCTGACGTGCAATGTCAATAAGTTTAATCATCTCAAATTTGGTCTCTATGATGTGTAGGTGGTGATATAGGCTGGAACCTTCACACCATTGTGTGACTATTGCCAACTGAGGCTTGGTGGAATAGCCCATAAAAAGCAAGATGTTTACATGTCGTGTTTTCCTGTAACAAAAGAAAGGGATATAAAGATAAATAGAAATATACACCTTCACTATTGCTTGTCAAGGTAATTAAGAAGCAGTAATTGTTGAATTACAGTAGCATGACCTACTACATCCAGACTAGACTTCAGCACAGCTTCACAAACTTTCAGTATATGGAACCAGCAACTAAATTTCCCCATATGCCAGAGAAACAGGTCCTATTCAGAACATTAACTCTCAGTGAAGGGATAGGAGGAAATATTAAGTTACACTCTCCTTGAAATACCCAGTGCAAGAAATCAGCTTATGTACATCTAGCGATCAGCAGGCCAAGCTGTTATTGGCACTCAAGATAACATGATCAATGCAGCAAAATTCTGAAAAGGAAAAAATTAGCTTACCCGAGATCGCTCCCATACACATTGAATACAGCATATACAAAAGATACAAGGTGTTTTCAATGTAAAATATATCGATATATTAAAATATATATATGTTAATATTTTGACGAAAATATATTGATTTCTTCACGTGCAATACCCACCTCCAGGCAGTCCTTTGCTCCAAATGACCTTTTCTTTGATTTGCCCTGCTTTGAGACGCATCCCCAAGCAGGGCAAATCTCCTCAGTGACTTTGGCACGCAGGTTTCGTTGCCAACGTTCATTTACTCCCTAGCTAGCACTAGAAGCGCTCACTAGTGAATTTCCATACCAACCAGAGAGTATGTGGTGCGGTTGCTATGGATGGAGAGTAGAGGGACCTCTTGTAGGAAGTCTTTGCTGCTCTTCCTGGTCAGTCAATGCCTCAGCACGCTAAGACATTGACTGATAGCTGGTAAAATAAATTTAAAAAAATCACTGATTTTTCTCCTTATCAATATATTTTCTAGCAAAACTGCTAGAAAATTTACAGACAGAATTTCACGGTCAATCTAATGTATCTTCCGGTGTCTGCACTTCCCACGCTCCCCCTGGTCATTTCTTACACTGGGTTCAATTTAAAATTCTGGTGCTTGGTTACAAATCCCTACAGAATGCTCCTACCCATTTTCACTAATAAACAAGTATGCCTTTCAGCTCTGCATCTATTCTCTGTCCATACTCCACACCTCTAATACTTTTCTAGGACTGCACTATTCCTATAGAAATACCTTCTCTTCTCTGTTAGACGCTTACCATGTCTAAGTTCATTCAAAAGATCATTCAAAACCAACTTAGTCAGGAAAGCATATCAATTAAACAGTTAATAGTTTTCAACTCTCCGCAAATTGGTAACCCACCCTGTTTCCTCTCCTGCAACGATCATCCAATAAACTAACCCTTCACTGTAAAATATTCTAGTAATTACTTTTTTCCGTACAATAAACACATCCTGCCCTTACCTCTTGTGCCACTTTATCAGACTACCTCTAGAATGTAAACGCGTTTGAGCAGGGTCCTTAAAACCCTCTATTCCTGGGTCTCGAACTTGTCTTGTTGCAAATACATGTCTGTTAGTCCAAACAATAGTACAGCGTTATGGAATTTGTTGGCGGTTTATATAGAATAACAATGAGCATAGGTAGTTTGGGGAGTGACAGGTCCAGAGGTCTTGCCAGACTGGAGATTGGCAATTCATGGCCTGCAACAGTATGCCAAACCCTTTGAAAAACACTTTTACTGGATCACGTTTGCACTTTTAGTCTAAATCAACTCAATTTCAACTGTTCAGATGTATAAATCTACATCTGCAAATAGAACTCAAATAAGTTCTATTAGAAAGTTGTAAGGTTTTTATACCCACTTAAAAGTGCTTCAAATATTTTATTATCAAATCGCCCATAGGAAAGCATTACTCAATGCTTTCCTATAGACGTCAGCTGCTTCTCACGGATTCTCTGAAACTGCTATGTTTTCAGCTGCAGGGTTAAAACTAGAGGGGCCTGGCACCCAGACCACTTCATTGAGCTGAAGTGGTCTGGGTGCCTATAGTGGTCCTTTAACAACGATACAGCTGTCAATGAGTGGTTATCTGGCTTTGCAACTTTTCCTTTGCACCTTGTGTTTCAAAGCTGTTGTATACAGGAAACAAGCTTCAAAGAATCCATGCTTAAAGGGACACCGTAGGCACTGTATCTGCTTCATCTCATTAAACTGGTTATAGTGTCTGGAGTCCCCTGGTACCATCATTTCTTTCAGCATTAAACAGTTTTTAATGTTGTAATGTTTTAATGCTAAACAAGAGTCCACGGCAGTCTATCCCCTCTGTGCTGCTTTGGCTAATAAGGAAGTATTACCCTGAGAGGCAATGGGCAGCTGTGATTGGTTGAGAGTGTCAGCTGACTGCTCTTAATCTGTCAGAGTTCCAACTGACGGTATGAATGGGTATGACAACAAGGAAGTGTGTAATCTCTGCCTTAGCTACACATACAGAAGGGGCCGGACTGTGGGTGGCCAGGGACTCTTATTTTGTGGCATACTGCACAAACGTGGTGCAACACTGAATGGAGGGACAGTGCCAGACCACTCCAGGCACTATAACCAATTCAAAGAGACAAAGTGGTTATAGTGACTACAGTGTCCCTTTAATGTGGGACAAAAATGGGATTATATGCTGAACTAATTTGCATATGCCCACCCAGAATACCTTGCAGTAGTAACAAAGTTTGCAGACCTGTCTTTATACACACACACACACACACACACACACACACTATACACAATATATATATTTGTGCTCGGAATTTATCTAATACGTAATGGAATGTATAAGGGGAGGCAAAGCTGGTTGAGGTGTGCCGAAACCAATGTACGAGTAGGCCTGTAAAAAGAGGGCCCACAAGGGTGAGTGTTAATATAGATGGGTGTAGGTGGGTGAGGACAAACGGCTTGCAAGACAAAGGTAAGTAGGGGGGTAGGGTTTATATAGGTTCATTACTCCTCCCACAAATTCCAGCCAAATGGCCTTCTAACTTGTGCTCGGAATTTTTCTAATACGTAATGGAAAGTAGAAGGGGAAGCAAAGTTGGTTGAGGTGTGCCGAAACCAACGTACGAGTAGGCCTGTAAAAAGAGGGCAAAAGAGGATTCAAAGAAACCACACTTTATTGCAAGTTAATACAGCATGAGTAACGAAAGTTTGTAAGGTGCTTCACTCTGATTGAGGTATGTAAGTACCTGAGCTGATGCTTCTTGTGACCCCATTGTTTGTGATGTAGACTGGGGTGTAAGTGTTTGAAGCTTAACAAAACATTTACCATGATTATAACAGCGATGTTCTTGAATTTAAGCCAGCTCCTGTATGTGTCATGGTGCAATACAGTAAGCCGTACGTGAAGGGAAAGTCGTGACCCTGTGCGAGGTGCAATTGTGTGCTTAGTCCCAGATTAGCTTGTGGAAAGGTGATATCCTAAATGGAAAGTGGTGGGCCGTGGGGAGTGCCTGGAAGAAGGTATCAAATTGGGAGCGTGACAGAGCGTCAGCTGCTGTGTTGTGGATACCAGGAATGTGGATACAGACTAGGGAGAACTGAGAGGTAGCTGCCAACCACGTCAGCCTGCAAATAAGCCTCATAATTGTTAGGGAGGAGGACCGACCTTTGTTAAAGGGACACTATAGTCACCTGAACAACTTTAGCTTAATGAAGCAGTTTTGGTGTATAGAACATGCCCTTGCAGCCTCACTGCTCAATCCTCTGCCATTCAGGAGTTAAATCCCTTTGTTTATGAACCCTAGTCACACCTCCCTGCATGTGACTTGCACAGCCTTCCATAAACACTTCCTGTAAAGAGAGCCCTATTAAGGCTTTCTTTATTGCAAGTTCTGTTTAATTAAGATTTTCTTATCCCCTGCTATGATAATAGCTTGCTAGTCCCTGCAAGAGCGTCCTGTATGTGATTAAAGTTCAATTTAGAGATTGAAATACAATTATTTAAGGTAAATTACATCTGTTTGAAAGTGAAATCAGTTTTTTTTTTTTTCAAGCAGGCTCTGTCAATCATAGCCAGGGGAGGTGTGGCTAGGGCTGCATAAACAGAAACAAAGTGATTTAACTCCTAAATGACAGTTAATTGAGCAGTGAAATTGCAGGGGAATGATCTATACACTAAAACTGCTTTATTTAGCTAAAGTAATTTAGGTGACTATAGTGTTTCTTTAATGATGTCGCGGGCTGCGAAGTTGTCGGAGAAGCATCTAACTGCCTTGCCGATCCAAAGGTGACCCCACGTGTGGGCGGCCACTACGATGGGGTAGATCTCGAATAAACTAGATGTTTCTCTAAAGGCCGGCAAGGCATCCGTCTCAGGGGGCCAGTCGTCCCTAAACCAGTGGTTGCCGTAGATGGCTGCGAACCCTGCGTCTGTGTGAATTGAAGGTGAGTGCTCTGAAAGTGGGGGAGAATGAACAAAGAGATCACATTCCAATCGGCCAGAAAACTACTCTACATGTGTAAATCCGCCCTAGCCGGATCGTCCAACACGATTGGGCGTGAGTCGGGCACACCATGGAGCAAGTTGAGAAGCCTGGAGACAAAAGATCTACCCTGCGGAATGATGCGCATAGCAAAGTTGAGGGACCCCAGTAAGGACTGGAGGCCCCTCCTAGTGCATACAACACTCCGCATGAACAGGACAATCTCGTTCTTAATGTGGGACAGCTTGTCTGGTTCTATCAATAGAAAATCGTCTAGGTAGTGGATGACAGAGGGGCACCTGAGTATATTAAGGATCAGCCAGCAGAGTGTTTCTGGGAAGATATCGAATAACCTGGGGCTGCTCCTAGAGTCAAACGTGAGTCGGGTGGCCCAAAAATACCTGTTTCTCCAATTAACACCGTGTAAGTGCCATAGTGAGGGGTGAATAGGTGGTAGTTTGATGGCATTTGTTATATCTGTTTTGCTCAACCAAGCTCCATTAACCTGCTAATAAGATGGCCTCCATGGTATCATCAATTTTAGCGTATTGCAGTGAGAACTCGGGAATGAGGGAAGTTGATACTAGGAGTGGAGGAAGAGTGAGGTGCAGAGAGATCAATAATTAAACGTTTTTGGTTGGAGTATTTGTGAATGGCTATACAGATGGGATTGGTACGCCAAGATGAGAAAGGTGAAGACAGAAAAGGGCCAATCATAAAGCCGGCTGTGATTTCTGTAGACAGAAGGTGGTCCACCGTGAGTGGGTCAGTGGAAGCGGATAAAAGGTACCTGTGGGTATGGCGATAAGGCCAGTGTGAAACTCGTGTGAAAAACCCATCACCAGATAATCTACCAGGTGCCTAGCTGGATGTGACTGGAGATAGTATTCCAGGATGTCAATGTTAACTTCGGTCAGGCGGGCAAGTGGACTTGGTGTGGGTTCTGAAGCATATGGAACAGATGTGCAGTGCCCCGCATGTTTTGAGATTACATACCCTGGCGTTAAAGTCACTGCACACCAGAAATGTAATGGGACTGTCCGGGAATGTCACACCGACCGGCACCCTGACTAGTGTGTGGGGTGGGGGGGTGGTGAGCCGTGGAAATGACTGTCGTGCTAGTGAGCGTAGTTTGGGAGGTCAGCAGTAGGGCCATGGAGTTAACGTCATTACTCTTGGAAATGCCCTTTCTGATTAAGTCAGGGACAGGGTGAGCCGGGGAAACCTATGAAGTGGGTTTACCGAGCCCAACAAGGCACCTGGTGTGGCTATAGCGGATTACAGTTTCGCGAGTCTGTGATTGATCGTTTGGAGGTTGGTGAGTATAGCAGTCAGGGTGTCTCGTGTGGAATACGAAGTGTGAGCTGGCAAGATTTGTGAACTACAGCCTGGCCTGGGAATGTTGGCCTGAGTGGTCATGAGCCTATATAGTTTGGAGTTTCTGGCCGGGGCAGGAAAGGGGATACCCCTGCGTCTGAGCTCTGCTGAGATTTTTGGAATGGTCCAGTGTCTCAGGGACCTGTGGGTAAAAGGGGTGAGGGATTTTCCCGGAGACCCAGGCCTGATTGGCGCGCTGGCTATGTTGCCTTATGGTAGATTGGGGATCGGCTTTTGTGACATCTGAAAGAGAATAATGATTTGAATGAGTATGGTGAAGAGGAGGTGAAAGGGAGACCTCTGGAGAACTGGCCTGCTAGCTAGTGCAGAGGCGAAAAGTTTACCTAGACCAAGTGACAGGTGAGGCCCTGCTATTGCCAAGTGGCGGAGAGAGGCTCTACCTATGATTTGGCCTGAGGGTATTTTGTGGCAACAGGCACGTGGTGGCGGGTTGTAGGCCTCTCTGTGACCGTAAAGAGAGTCAAAACGTGTGGCCCTGACTTGGGAAGCCCTGGCTACAGCCCTAAACAAGGGCGAGCAAGGTGGCAAACTATGATTTGGTCGTGGGCCGAACCTCCGTGTATGAGGTGGGGGTGTAGACCTTGCGGGACCGGGTATTAATTAGCTAAGGCCAGAACCTAACCCGAGGAGCCAGTTCTCTAAACTACTGGGGCTTGTCTCTCGCAGTGATGTATATGTACGTATGTAAATACTAACCTTGAGTATAAGTCCTGTTTGTTCGGACAAAGCACAGGTAGACGTCGATATGGCTATAAATTAGCTTCTACAGGAAACGGGCTCGATCCAGAACCCAAGGGAAAAAGAGATGCTAGTTGGCCTGAGGCGTGCCACCGGTGTGCCAAGTGTAAAATGTAGAACGTATGGGTAGGTGTGTACCAGAGATATTGTAACATAAGCATGAGTAAACTGAGGGACCTGAACGTTGGTCCACAATAAGAGACAAGCCCCTGGGTACCCAGGGATGTGAATTTATAAATGATATGAATGCGAAGTGATTTAAAAATACCTGATACTGAATGCAGGAGACCGGGTAGCCAGTTGGTTGTTGATAACGTAGTGGAACTGCGTAAAATAGCGTAAGTCTAAGTAATATTATGTAGAAATGATAAACAGGAAATAATACGTTAATACAATAGTAGCTCGGTTGAGCAGGTTTATGAGAGTAGTTGGTGTCTAGGTGGCGTTTTTAAACCTGGTGTGTATAAACGTTTAGAACCCACTTTGGGAGGTGGGGGTGAGGGTTACGCAAGGCCGTGGAGGCTGAATGAGGCCTCAGGAGAAACGCAAAATTGGTAAAAAAACTTTACCTGATACCGTAAAACTGGGACCTGGAAATCACTTCTTGAAAATTTCCTTGAAGAAGAGTAGACGATCTTAAAACATATGTATTCTAAGAATGATGACCAGGTAGTAGTATATTTAAGGAGCAGAACTCCTCCCACAAATTCAGGCCAAATTGCCTTCCAAGACTGGAAGAAAGAAGATTTTGTCTAAGGCAAATGAAAGTTTTTTTTTTTTTTACTGTAAGAACAATCAGAATGTGGAATTCTCTGCCTGAAGAAGTGGTTTTATCAGAGTCCATACAAATGTTCAAACAGCTACTAGATGCATACTTGCAAAAACAGAATATTCAAGGATATAATCTTTCAATGTAGGGTAATAACTGCTTGATCCAAGGATAAATCTGACTGCCATTCTGGGGTCAAGAAGGAATTTTTTTTTCCTAGCTTGTTGCAAAATTGTGCTTCAAACTGGGTTTTTTTTTGCCTTCTTTTGGATCAACAGCAAAAACCAAATGTGAGGAAGGCTGAACTTGATGGACGCAAGTCTCTTTTCAGCTATGTAACTATGTAACACATACATACATATATACACACACATACATATACATACATATATACACAGAGGAAAATGTATTCATACTTATCGTAATTTTCTTTTCCTGGTCATAGGCCATGGCAGCACAACAATGGGTAGCTCCTCCCAGTCCCTATTTAGACAGGAACTAATTAAAACAAGGGTATAAGTACCCCCTCCTACCCTCAGTCTTGTATTCCAGCAAAATCCCTGGGCGGGATCTTTGTGCTGCCATGGCCTATGACCAGGAAAAGAAAATTACGGTAAGTATGAATTAATTTTCCTCTTTCCTGGCCATATCCATGGCAGCACAACAATAAGCAATACCCAAGCAAAACCAAGGGAGGGAAAAAAAACATTATGTAATGCAAGTGTATTAGCACATCTATAAGTGAAATCATACAAAAAGAAAGACATTAGTTGGATGCTGAAATGCCCATTAACCCGCTCTTACATCTAGTTGATAATGTCGAATAAAGGTGTTCACCGATGACCATGTAGCGGTTATGCACATAAGCTCTGGAGAGACTCTCGCTGCGGCTGCCCAAGAGGAGGAAAGGGATCTGGTTGAGTGAGCCTTTAGACCGCTAAGTACTGGAACCCCACTGGCACGGTAAGCCTGAATGATAGCGGAGACAATCCATCTGCTCACGGCCTCTTTAGAAGCTTGGCGACCTTTCCTAGTCCCATTCGGGATGATGAATAGCTGATCCGATGAACGCCAGCCAAGAGATCTGTCAATATAGATTTTTAAACATCTTACCAAATCCAGCGGAGAAGAACCTCCTTCTTGGGAATGTTCTTCTTGCGTCAGGGCTGGAAGCACTATGTCTTCATTCACATGAAAGGCCGTGGTTACCTTAGGACGAAATTCGGGAATGGTTCTCTGTGAAACACAGTGAAAGGCTCTTTGACTGATAAGGCACTGAGCTCCAAAACCCTTCTCCCTGATGCTAATGCCACCAGTAAAAACGGTCTTGATGGTAAGAAGATGAGGAGAGATGGACTCCAAGGGTTCGAAGGGAGCTGACTTCATGGCTTGCAATACCAGTGGTAGATCTCATGGGGGAGCAAATGGCTTGATCGGAGTTTTAATGTTGAGGACTGCAGCAAGAAACCTGGATACATCTGGATTAAAGGCCCATTTGTGGTCAGTGAGAGCTTAAAGAGCGGAGACATGTACCTTTAAGGTGTTGTAGCTCAAACCCTTATCCAGACCCGTTTGTAGAAACTCCAAGATGTCTTTAATAGCAGGATGCTATATGTTAATCTGCTTAGGAGATGTCCAGGAAGAAAATGCGGCCCAAATTCTATAGTAGGTAGAGGAAGTGGAATGCTTCCGAGCCTGTAACAGTGTATCTATGACTGCAGCCGAGAAACCCTTCTCTAGAAGCCTTTCCCTTTCAACTTCGAGGCCATCAGGCTGAGTAATGCTGGGTCTGGGTGTAGGATAGGACCCTGGTGCAGAAGAGAAGGAACTGCTGGACGGTCCCACAGAGGCTCAGAAGAAGAGGGAACCAAGGCCGGCGAGGCCAGTATGGGGGCAATCAGGATCATAAATACTGGTTCCTGCCGAATCCTTCTTAGTAGAGGAAATATGAGGGGAGTGGGAGGAAATGCATACCCCTTTGTGAACTCCCATCTGCATGATCGGGCATCCCTCTCCTGGGCCTGCGGTTCGTGACCCCTTGAGAAGAATCCCTGGAGCTTCTTGTTGTTGGTGGCCATGATGTCTATCTGAGGAAGACCCCATTTCTTCATGATATCCTTGAAGACATTCTCCTGGGTCTATCCTTACCCTGCTGAGGAAGTCTGCTATCGTATTCTGCAATCCTGGCAGATGAATCGCCACTAGCTCCAGCAGTTCTTCTGTGCGCAAGACATCAGGGGAATCATCAACCTTACCATACTGCGACTTCGGGTACCTCCTTGATGATTGATATGTGCTTCTACTATAGCATTGTCCATTCTCACCTTCACCCACTTGTGCTGTAGTAAACGCTGAAAGTGCTTTAGTGCTATGAAAACCGCTAGAAGCTCCAGAAGGTTTGAGTGGGTCTCGTGTGCAGGAAACTACCACTTCCCTTGGATGACCTCGTTCTGCAGGTAGGCTCCCCAACCCCAGTGACTGGCGTCTGTCGTTATAGTAATCCAGGGAATGTTCCCCAGGGGGAACCCTGAGAACAAAGCCTTCTTGTTCATCCACCATGTCAGGCTTAGATGGACCGGGGTGGGAATCCTGATGGGCTGGAGTAGATTCTTCCCTCTGTATTGGGAAAGGAAATTCCTCGAGAGTGTTCTCATTCTCCATTGTGCCCATCTTGTCAAGCCTATGGTTGATGAAATGGACCCTAGTAGGCTCATGACTTTCTCTGCCGTAGCGACCTTGACTTGTCGTATCTCCTTTACCTTCCTGATGAGCTTTACTCCTCTTTCTCTTGAGAGCTGAACTGTCCCCAGTGCAGTGTTGAACAAGGCTCCTAGATAAAGCATGGACTGTGAAGGAATAAGGCGACTCTTTTTCCCATTTATCTTTCAGCCGTGTTCCTGCAGGAACTGAATGCAGATCTGTCCCTGTTGATTGAGAGTGTACCTGTCCTCTGATAGCACCAGGATGTCGTCCAGATAATGAAAAATGGCAATGCCCCTCTTTCTTAATTCAGCGATCAGGACCACCAGGATCTTTGAGAAAGTGCGAGGAGCTGTACTGAGGCCAAAGGGAAGGGCTCGGAACTGGAAGTGCCCACCTTCTACTGCGAATCTCAGATATCTTTGATGCAGTTGAGCGATCGGAACATGGAAGTAGGCATCTTGCAGATCTACAGACACTAGCCATTGCCCTGGGAAGACTGCTTTGATGATGGACTGAAGCGACTCCATTTTGAATCTTCTTACGTTCAATCGTTTGTTGAGAGTGTGAAGATCTAGAATGGGTCTCCATGCTCCTGAGGACTTCCTTGTGAGGAATAGGTGAGAATAAAACCTGTGTGTTCTTTCCTCCTTTGGAACTTCCATAATGATGCCTTCTTGCTGCAGGGAAGAAATAAACTCCAGAAGAGCCAATCTCTTGTCTCTGTCTCCCGGCCATCTTGTAAGTTGAAAACTGCGACGAGGTAGGGCATCTCTGAATCCCAAAATATATCCTCTTTTGATGATGTCCAGCACCCACTTGTCTTTGGTAGAAGACTCCCATCTCTTTTGGAATAGGAGGAGGAAGCGTGCTCCTACCCCTCCAGGCTGGGAGATCAACCCGTCATAAAGCTCTCGTGTTCCTGCTGAATGCAGAGCCTCTCGATCTTTCTCCCCTGACTGAAGACTGCCCCCCTCTCCAAGGCTGGGATCTTCCATATTCTCTACCCGGTCTGTAGGATTTGAAGTCCCGAAAGGAAGAGTGATCTGAAGGTCTTTTGGGCCGAAAGGATCTCTTAGGCCTACGATCTTGGGGTAGAAAAGCATTCTTGCCATCTGCCGCTTTCTTAATGCAATCATCCAGGTTCTTACCAAAAGGCATGTCTCTATAGAACGGTAAAGAGCAGAGGCTGTTCTTAGATGAAGCATCTGCTGACCATGATCTAAGCCACAAAGCCTGTCTAGCTGAGATGGAAAATGCCATGTTCCTGGCCACTGCTTTGACCATATCCACTGAGGCTTCAGTAGTGAAATCTACGTCCAGTTTAAGGTCTTGTAGACTACCCATGAGGTTGGCTCTGCTTATGCCCTCTTTGATATCCTCCTCCAGGCCTTCCAGCCAGATCTTCAAAGCTCTGGAGACCGAGGTAAGGGCTACCGCAGGGTGGAGGCCTGTGCCTGCTGCCACATAGGCCCTGGACAGGTTAGAGTCCATCTTCTTATCCGTGGAGTCTCTTAGAGATCCTGCATTATCCACTGGAAATGTGGTGCGCTTGGCAAGTCTTACCACCGCTGCATCCACTTTAGGGGCTGACTCCCAGTGGCCTGTGTCATTTTTGTCAAAAGGATAGAGGCAAGAAATTCTCCCCTGATTGGGAAGTTTTCTCTCGGTCTTGGACCATTATTCTGTAATGATGCCCTTAATCGCCTCATGAACCGGGAAGGTAACCCTCTTTCTTCTGAGGTCAGAAAAGTATCGACTGGATGTAGAAGGCTTTTCTCTAGAAGGTTCCTTCATGCTCAGAGACTTGTGGACCCTGGAAATGAAGTGATCCACTTCGGTTGGGTCCAAAGTGTCAGGAGCGTGCGGTTTTTCCTCATCCGAGGAAGATGACCTCTCGTTGTATGTCTCCTCCATAGACACATCCGAAGAGTCGTATTGGAAGTAGTCAGGAAGATCTGCATATCTAGGCCTTTTGTGGGCTCTGCCCTCCTCTTGAATGCCTTGGGATACAGCATTCTGAATAATTTGCATCAAATCCGGGGTGGATGATGTGGGACATCCTGCGGCCTGTAGGCAATCTGAGCATAGGCGGTTCCCCTCCAGGGCCCTCTTGTCACATGCTTCGCATAGGGAACTTGTGGGAGACTTCCCTTTGGATGTTCCAGTTGTCTTTTTCCCTTTAGTACTACTATAATATAGGGAAAATTATTAGCCAGCACTCTTTTGTTTAGAAGAAAAAAAAAATGATATAAGAAATGGCTTACCCCTGAGATTTAAATAGTGACCGTTTACTTTGAGCTGATGAGTCTGAATCCATGATCTCAGATGAATTAATCTATAAAGTTAAGCCCATAAAGTAAAAAATAAAATCAACTGACTAAACAGACAATCTGTGTCTTTAAAAGACTTACCTTCAGTCTGCACCACAACTGGGTGAAGACTGCACTGTACCGCTTTAAATTAGCAAGAGACTGTGTTGAAAAGTTAGATTTCAGTGTTGGCGCTTTAAAAAGGGCGCCCAAACTTTCTGAATGACGTCATCGGAACCTCGGACGTACCGCGCATGCGCAACCGCGAAAACCGGACGCCAAGCCAGCATGGTCTCCCAACCTCTGCAGACCGCCAGAAATGCGGCAAAAATGCCACGAATAGAGACAGGGGTGAGCCCTAGATCACCAGGGAAGCGCTGCACTCCACAGGAAGGGAGAAATAAACACCAGGCATGGAACTGCCGAATCAAGAGGAGGAATGCCTCCAAATCCGAGAAAAAAGGCAGATAACCAGGAAAATGAAGGTAGAAGGGGGTATATCCATACTGCTTGTGCCTTGCCCATACCTGCTACCCCTAGGGTCACTGCAGTCAGTAGGGTAGTGGCTCCTTATGCTTGCTACCCCTAGGGTCACTGCAAGCTTCCCCCAGTCACTGGGGGTTTCTCCAGGGGGAAACCTTTGCACAGGCCCGTTTACTGGAGCTTTCCAAGGAAGAGAGGCTTAACTCCCCTGGGACCCAAGGGTAAAAACCTTTAACCCCTTAAGGACACATGACGTGTGACACGTAAGCCATAAAAAATTTTTTTTAAAAAATTGTTCTCAGTCTGAAAAGACTAATCTGTCCTAGAGATAGGACAGGAACAAAAAGACTGCGGGTAGGAGGGGTACTTATACCCTTGTTTTAATTAGTTCCTGTCTAACTAGGGATGAGGAGGAGCTACCCATTGTTGTGCTGCCATGGATATGGCCAGGAAATATACATATACATACATATATATATATATACACACACACACATACACACACATATATATAGCTCAAATAAATAAAGGGAACACAAAAATAACCCCTCCTAGATCTGAATGAATTAAATATTCTTCTGAAATACTTTGTTCTTTACATAGTTGAATGTTCTGACAACAAAATCACACAAAAATTAAAAAACGGAAATCAAAATTTTCAACCCATGGAGGTCTGGATTTGGAGTCACACTCGAAATTAAAGTGGAAAAACATACTACAGGCTGATCCAACTTTGATGTAATGTCCTTAAAACAAGTCAAAATGAGGCTCAGTAGTGTGTGTGGCCTCCATGTGCCTATATGACCTCCCTACAACGCTTGTGCATGCTCCTGATGAGGTGGCGGGTGGTCTCCTAAGGGATCTCCTCCCAGACCTGGACTAAAGCATCTGCCAAATCCTGGACAGTCTGTGGTGCAACATGACGTTGGTGGATGGAGCAACAAACACTATATATATATTATATATATATATATATATATATATATATATATATATATATATATATATACACATACACACACAGCCTGGCCAAAGAAAAGTCGCCACCCCAAAAAAGTCACACGCTAATATTTTGTTGGACCACCTTTAGCTTTGATTATGGCACACATTCACTGTGGCATTGTTTCGATAAGCTTCTGCAATGTCACAAGATTTATTTCTTTCCAGTGTTGCATTATTTTTTCACCAAGATCTTATATTGATGATGGGTGAGTTGGACCACTGTGCAAAGCCTTCTCCAGCACATCCCAAAGATTCTCAATGGGGTTAAAGTCTGGACTCTGTGGTGGCCAATCCATGTGTGAAAATTATGTGTCATGCTCCCTGAACCACTCTTTCACAATTTGAGCCCGATAAATCGTGGCATTGTCATCTTGGAATTTGCCCATGCCATTAGGAGAAAAAAATCCATTGATGGAATACCCTGGTCATTCAGTATATTCAGGTAGTCAGCTGACCTGATTCTTTGGGCACATAATGTTGCTGAACCAAGATCTAACCAACTGCAGCAACCCCAGATCATAGCACTGCCCCCACAGGCTTGTACAGTAGGCACTAGGCATAATTGGTGCATTATTTCATCTGCCTCTCTTACCCTGATGCGCCCATCACTCTGGATTCTGGACTCAAGACCACATGACCTTCTTCCATTGCTCCAGAGTCCAATCTTTATGCTCTCTAGCAAATTGAAGCTTTTCTCTCCCCCCCCCATTAGCGGTTTTCTTAAGGCACCACAGCTGTTCGGTCCCAATCCCTTGAGTTCCCATCACATTGTGATTGTGGAAATGATCTTACTTTCACTATTAAACATAGCCCTGAGTTCTACTGTTTTTCTACAATTTGATTTAACCAAATGTTTAGGTGATCGCAGATCACGATAAATAAAGACGATGGACTATCCTACCAGTTTTTAATAATGCGTTGGACAGTTCTTAACCCAATTTTAGTAGTTTCTGCAATCTCCATAGATGTTTTCTCTGCTTGATGCATGCCAATGATTTGACCCTTCTCAAACATACAACCATGTCAAAAGACATCCCGTGGTCGTGGAAAAGTTGTTAAAGAAATGAGAAGCTACTCATTGCATCAGTTGGGGTAAATAACTTGTTGCCAGCTGAAAGATAATCGCCCATGCAGTAACTATCCAATAGGAAACCAACACCACAGACACACACACACACACACACACACACACACCTTTAAAAAAAAAAAAAAAAAAAAAGATAGTGAATGCAATTTAAAATCATTCATGTAACAGAAGCAGGATCCACTCAGAAGTAAATGTGAGAAAGTTTGTTAAGAGCAGCACCTGCTGTTTTTCATCTGAAGTAACAGCAGGGAAGTACAGTCTGCATTGTTTTCTTTAGAATGCAGTACAAACCTGATAACCTACAAATGTCTGTATGATGAAAACTGCTTCTGGCAAGTACTAAAGAGCACACTGTGTTAGTGAAATTAACAGCAAAACTGGTGAACTGACATATGAGCTGATATCTGCTTCCTGGGCTCTTCAGTAACATGCATACATACCCATTAGTAATTGTTGCTAAACCCCATTTGAATGAGTAAAGAGCACGTCTCCTGGGCTGGCTAAGCAAAGAAAGCCAATATGCATTACCTTTATTATCAGACAATTGCAGAATAATGCTCTTAGCAGTTACATCTGGTTTCTCATCCTGGAGATAACCAGATCTGACATATCAGACTGGGTGCCTGGCACGACCCAGGTAAGTTGTCAAACCAACTTAAATCTGTTTAAAAACCTTATTGTGGAATGGCACCAGGATACTCCTGCCGTCATAACCACTACAGTGTGTTTTAGTTGGTACAGTTTTTGTGTTTCTTTGAGTGCAGGAGCATTGCAAAAAAATATGGATTGGAATGGAACATTTAAATGTGTTTATATTATTTTGTGTGTGTGTATGCATGTGTATATATATGTCCAGAGAAAAAATATAAATATATATATATATATATATATATATATATATATATTTATTTATATTTTTTCTCTGGTAATATGTTCATAATTTGGACTGAACAATAGATCACCCAATTTAAAAAAATACTTAAACTAAAAACATTTCACATATGACTGAGGAACAGGGCCGGACTTGCCATACGAGATACCGGGAAATTTCCCACACGGCGCAATTACAGGGTGACCGGCAAGAGGTAATGCGCTCCCCTCTTGCTGGTCACAGAATTTAGCGCGGCCAGGCAGGCAGACCGCAGGTAGAGGAGCTCCTGTTCCCCTACCCGGTCTGACAGGAAGTGCTCACAGAGAGCACATGACTACTTCCTGTCAGATCGGGTACAGTTAGCAGAAGCTCCTCCACCACGCTACAGCATGGTACAGGGAGAGCTGGGGGGACCAATGGGACACCCGGGGGCCAAAGAAACTAATGGGACACCCGGGGGCCAAAGAAACTAATGGGACACATGAAGGGCTGGGAAGGGGTATAGGGACACATGAAGGGCTGGGAAGGGGTATAGGGACACATGAAGGGCTGGGAAGGGGTATAGGGACACATGAAGGGCTGGGAAGGGGTATAGGGACACATGAAGGGCTGGGAAGGGGTATAGGGACACAAGAAGGGCTGAGAAGGGGTAAAGTGACACATGAAGGGCTGGGAAGGGGTATAGTGACACATGAAGGGCTGGGAAGGGGTATAGTGACACATGAAGGGCTGGGAAGGGGTATACTGACACATGAAGGGCTGGGAAGGGGTATACTGACACATGAAGGGCTGGGAAGGGGTATAGTGACACATGAAGGGCTGGGAAGGGGTATAGTGACACATGAAAGGCTGGGAAGGGGTATAGTGACACATGAAGGGCTGGGAAGGGGGTAAAGGGACCTATGGAGGGACTGAGGGAGATAAGGCACATGGA